TTATAATATTGCCTTATAATAATTGCTATTGCGTCGTTTTTGTAACAGTGCGTTAAGTGTCGAGATATAAACGTTGTTAGTTCACTCTCGCCCTGTGTGTGTTGTTTTTCTGCGCAATTTTTGCGTAATCCGCGCTGCAACGTTTATATTTCCACGCCGTTCTTAGCGTCAGATTCCCAGTTGTTGCTAATGCATTCAACGGTTGGCCTTTGTGACAAAACTGTGACTTTTGTTATTACATTGAAGTACTTGGAGTGACATGTTGGCATCGTAGAACTAACCTTTGTGATATTATCACAAGTAAAGATGAACTTCCGATTTCTTCTGATTTCTGAACACTTCTGATTTCAACTGTATATCTAGTGCTATAGCCTTTCTTTATGCTAAAGCACTGTTTATTTCTTATCCAGGCGTGGTGTCTGTGTTGCTAAATTCAAAAACTGAGGCATCCTGTGGTCCTGATAACCTACCGAACGTATTTCTACAACGGCATGCTTTATCGTTAGCAAAGTTTTTGGCTATTATTTTGCGCTGTTCTTTGTTATCTTCCCAGCTGCTCAGTGACTGAAGGACAGCCCGCGTTGTACCCGACTTTAAAAAGGGGGACCGCTTAGCACTAATAAATTACCGTTCAATCTTACCAACTTCACAATGTTTTAAAATTATTCAACACATAGTAGCTACTAGTATGATCAAGTATATTGAAGAACGCTCTATAATAACGATGCATCAACATGGTTTTCAAAAAGGATTATCTGCCGTAACTCAACTCGTCACACTGTTTTACTCCCTTGCATTAAAAATCGATAGACGCGGTAAGACAGATATGCTCTTCTTAGATTTCTGCAAAGCCTTCGATAAGGTTCCCCATAGTAAACTCATTTCCAAATTTAGAACAATAAGTATACCCGAAATATTCGTTTGCTGGATATCTGCGTATATAAATAATCGCGAACAGCACGTTGATGTAGGGGGCTAATATTCGGACTGTCTTCCGGACACATCGGGCGCACCACGAGGCAGTGTGTTAGGCCCTTTGCTCTTTCTATTGTATATCAATGATATTGTTGATGTTGTTCACCTTAGTGTGGAAATAATATTGTTTGCAGATGATTGTGTTTTGTTCAAACGAATACGTTCCACTAACGATTTCAACGATCTGAGCACTAGTCTTTGCAATATATGTGAATGTTGCAACAAATAGGGGATGTGTCTCAACGCGAACAAATATTTGTGCCTTCCAGTGACTCGCCAAAAGAATCCACAATCGTATACATACATATTAGGGTCTTCCCCACTGCAACAAGTAAACTTCTACAAATTTCTTGGTGTGACACCCACTTCTAACTTATCTTGGAATCTCCATATTGATAATGTTTGTTCATCTGCCTTTCACAAACTATGTCTTCTTAAACATAAATTTCAAAGTGCTCTCACGAGTATTAAACTATTTTGTTACACAGCCCTTGTGCTACCAAAACTAGAGTACGCGAGCATAGTATGGAATCCTTATACAAAACGTAATATATACACTCTTGAGCGTATTCAAAGAAAAGCTGTTAGATCTATATTCAACAAGTACTCCAAGTTAGACTCACCCTCAGATTCAATGCTAACCAACAACATTCCCGTACTACAGATGTGAAGACAAAAAGCTAGATTAGAATTCCTTGACTAACTTTTGAACAAAAAAATAGCTCTAGACCCATCCCCGTATTTGACACCACTGACAGCCGGCCCACCAGACACCACCACCCAAAGGACTTGATCCCATATTTTGCTCCCACAGACCTACTGAAGTATTCGTACTTCCCAAGAACCATATGTGAATGAATCTGTCTTACTTATACATGTGATGAATGAATTAACCTACCAAACAACTTCCCTTGCCCTTTATTATTTCGTTGTGCAATTATTGTATTTGTATTTGCATGTGTATTACCACTCTGCTTGGACCTCGAGTCTGCAGTATTGAATAAATGAAGAAGAGTCTCCGTTCCATGGTCTGAGTAGAGAAGAAACTACGGCGTCAGTCTGTTTTCAAAAAAATCTTGAATCTACTTGGGAAGACACACTGCCATAAAGATTTAGGCCAGAGAGAAAAGTCATTACTGAGTTGGATCGTTTGTGTTTTTGCCCGCACTTTCCCCCACTTTATTACCGCTTGTTAAGAGGAGAGGCTTCTCGAAGACATCTTTTTTATATTCCCCCTAGAGCAAGAATACTTGAGCTGTTTATGGAACGTTTTGTGCTGATTTCAAATATATATTTAGTTTTTTTGCAAGTTGCTTACTTTTATCTCTGCAAAATGACAAAGTGAAAACCTTAACCCTTTTACCCTCCCCCCTCTTTTCATCTCTGAACTTCCGTAATTTTTTACCATTCATAGCTCATAATGTTTGAAATAAAGTGTAGAATGCAAATTACGAATTAGGAAGCGCATACAATATATGGAATAGGCGTGAAAGATAATAGACCTAAAAAGTTCATATTTCACCTACCCTAGTAAAGGTTTACATAATTTTTTATTATACAATAAAATATTGAATTTTGAACTAGATAATTGCATTTGCCATACTTTGGAAAAAAATTTGGCGAAATTTTTTGCAGATCCGAGCACTAGAAGTGCTCAAAAAGGACAGGCACACAGAAAAAAATGGCGAAATTTGTGTTTTGAGAAAAACGACTTTTAAGGTTAAAATTGAGTTTTTATTTATGAAACATATCATTAAATCTGACAAAATGTGTACACAAAAAAGAACAAACCTTGTTGTAGTGGCCACTGCGACTAAAATACGCCAACCCTATGAGTTTGTCTCTCTGGGCTTTTTCGAACCGACTCCCCACAAACATTTCGCTCACAGACAGGGCCATGAAACGCTTGCCAAACTTCCGCTCCATCTGGCAGAGCCTTGTGCCAACTGCAAGCTAGAAATAAGTTCGAAATGGCTGCGAAATTGAAACTAAGTCCAGTGTCATGCCATTTTACAACCATGTTTGTGCCACATACCGTCGTACATAATGGCAATGTCGTCCCTGCTAAGTTTTCTCACTGCGAGCTCTTTCGACCTCACAAGATTGGTGCTAACATTCATTGCCGCATCACGAACTTTCCGGCTGACGCGTGTGAATGACTTTTGAGGCGTTGGTTTTCGCAAGGTAACAACTGCCGCAAATCGGACCAGCTGCTCGTAGCCTATTCCTACAGAGCGTGCCGCACAGCGGCTTTCACTTGCGAGCAATGCTTTTTTCATTCATAACGGAGATAATTACACGAGAAAAGCGTTGTTCGGCTGCGCTGCTCGACAAGACATAGACCCCGAAAATAGGCTTCACAGCACATACAGGCGTGCAGCGGCCAATGACTGTCCCCGATCCGTACCACGTGATCAGCCAGTTGCGGCGCTCGAAAAGCGCACAGAAGCGTGCTTCTTTTTATTATTTTTTGCGCCTCATCAGCGAAAGAAACTGTTGTTGCTTGAACATTAAGGCTCGACTCTTCGGCTAATGCGATCAACAATGGTGAGCGGCGGCGCATTATCGATGGCAAGGTGCTCGAAGACTGCACACTTGGAACCTTTTACCAGGCACCTTGTGCTCTTTAGATGCGATATTAAAGTATTTCCAGGTAAGTCTCGACGTGTATTTTTTTCATAACAGTATAGGTACTACTCTTATCAAAACAGGCAAAAATAAAAATCGGTAATTTTGAAAAAAAAAAACTCGCGTTTTTTTACCCGCATCTCTCCTTAAGAAAGGTGTTTACCACATGAAGAAGCCTACAAAACGAGCTTTAGACCTACCGGTAACCACCTCCAATGCCATTTTGTCGGCTCTGGGGGTGCTAAACTCTTATCAGGAATTGAAGGGGGCGCACATCGTCAACCAATATACGTGACTTTCGCAGACGGTATCTGGGCGCCGCTTGTTAAGCCGCCTGCACATGAAACTTGACTTCATTTCAGAGGAGACATGCAGACTTCCTGAGCTGTGGCGCCACAAGCTGTGGGTCCCTCCCCAGCCTCCAAACATGCACTCGGAGACACACGAAGGCAGACGAGGGGCGCGCACTGTGGCCCTCGAACACCACTACGGTTATAAGCCAGGTGTATACTACGTTGATGTGGCAGAGCCGTCGCCCGCTAGATTTTCCACGGCCACAGTAGTTCACCAAAACAAATGCGTTAACGGGCTCACCTACCGGGCTTCCAACTCCACGTGCGCTGAGGAGGAAGCAATAGCACTTGCCGCCTCGCACACGGACTCTAGAATAATATTTAAAGATTCACGCCGAGCCTGTGAAAACTATCTGGCGGGCAAGGTATCAACTTTAGCCTACGATATTTTAAAGCGAGTGGTCAGAGATTTAAACCCCTCACCAAAATGCACTGTTTGTACTCCGGGCCACTAAGGCCATAAAGGTAACGACGGTGCGGACGTGGCTGCCCGCGCGCTTAACCACCGGGCACCTCACCCAGGCTTTCCCGGCTCAGAGACTTGCCAACCGCTGCTACAATTCAGACAAATTCTGGTGTACTATTGCGAACAACATCGTATTTCCCGGTGCCTGCTAAGGGCCTTAGTAGGGCGCCTGCAGGCCAACATCTTGTTGTGCCCTGCAGTAGTAAATTATTTTGACCCGAAAGTCCATGGGCGGTGTCCTCACTGTGGTGAAGTCTCCGATAACTTTCACGTGGTATGGGCATAGCAAATGAATGCTCACCTTCTCTCTAACCCTTCTCCTACTAGAGAGGTGTGGAAGGCAGCCCTACTCAATTGCTCAGGGCTGGAGGCTCGAATAGCTCTTGTCCAACGGGCATGGGTAGCGGCCTTGTCCAGTGGGGTCCCGGAATAAGAGCTCCCCCTGTGTAAAGAGCCCTTATAGACCTGCAAACTCTCTATGAATAAATGTTTTTCACATGCACGCGCGCGCCGCAGCTAGCCCGTTTTACTAAAACGCAAGCTAAAAGGTTGCGTTTTTTTCCTTTTTCCTCCTGCAGAAACTGAAGCAGCTGTCGCCTCCTTTATCACCTGAGACATGCAAGTTTGCGCTCACGAACGAGAACCGGCTCAAGAACCGGTCAATCGAGGTATTACCCGGTACGTATCACATCATCCTCCTTCTCATCATCATCATCATCGTCATCATCAGACTGACTATCTCCAATGTAGGACAAAGGCCTCTCCCATGTTCCGCCAGTTGACTCGGTCCTGTGCTTGCTGCTGACAATTTATAGCTGCAAACTTCTTAATCTCATCTGCCCACCTAACCTTCTGTCTCCCCATAACCCGCTTGCTTTCTCTGGGAATTCAGTCAGTTACGCCTATTGACCAGCGGTTATCCTGTCTACACGCTACATGCCTGGCGCATGTCCACTTCCTCTTCTTGATTTCAACTATGACATCCTTCATCCCCGTTTGTTCCCTAATCCTCTCTGCTCTCTTTTTGTCTCTTAAGGTTACACCTACCATTTTTCTTTCCATTGCTCGCTGCGTCGTCCTCAATTTAGGCTCCACCCTCTATGTAAGTCTCCAGGTTTCTGCTCCATAGCTAAGTACCGGCAAAATACAGCTGTTATATACCTTCCTCTTGAGGCATAGTGGCCATCTACCTGTCAATTTTAGAGTGCTTGCCAAATACGCTCTACCCCATTTTTATTCTAGTTACTTCAACCTTGCGGTTCAGCTCCGTAGTTATTACTTGCCCTAAGTAGACATATTGTTTTACAACTTGAAATGCACTATTACCTATCTCCAAGCGCTGCTCTATCCCGAGGTTGTTGTACATTACTTTCGTTTTCTGCAGATTATTTTAAGACCCACCTTTCCGCACTTCTTGTCTAACTCCGTAAGCATGAGTTTCAATTCGTCCCCTGAGTTACTCAGCAATGCAATGTCATCAGCAAAGCGCAGGTTATTAAGGTAGCTCCATTAACTCTTATCCATAACTGTTTCATTTGCAGGCTTCTGAAAACTGGTAAGCACGCGGCAAATAGCATTGGGGAAATTGTGTCCCCCTGCCTTACACCCTTCTTGATTGGTATTCTGTTGCTTTCTTTATGAAGCACTATGGTAGCAGTTGATCCTCTGTATATTTCTTCCAAGATGTTTATATATGCTTCATCGACGCCCTGATTCCGCAGTGTCTGCAGACTGCTGATATTTCCACTGAATCAAATGCCTATTCGTAATCAATGAAGTCTATGAATAGTGGTTGGCTATATTCTGAGCTTTTCTCTATAAACTGATTGATAGTATCAATGTGGTCGATTGTTGAGTAGCCTGTTAGCAATTACCTGTGTAAATAGATTATATACTAAGAGAGCAAGCTGATCGGTCTTTAATTCTTCAAGTCCTTGTCACCTCCTTTCGTATGTATTAGGATGATGTTACCATTCTTCCAACACTCCGGTATTCTTCACGTCCGGAGACACCTCGTAAACAGGGTGGCTTGTTTTTCTAGCACAATCTGTCCTCCATCTTTCAGCAGATCTGATGTTACCTGATCCTCACCAGCAGCTTTGCCTCTTTGCGTGCTCTCTGAAGCTTTTCTGGCTTCTTCTATCATTACAGGCGGGGTGTCATCTGGGTTACTGCTAGTTCTTATAGTATTAAGCTTGTGGTTGTCCCGACGTTTGTACAGATCTCGGTAAAGCTCCTCCGCTATTTTAACTATCCTATTCATATTGTTAGTTATTTTGCCTTCTTTGTAGTGCATACATCCGATTTTTGCCTATCCCAAGTTTCCTCTTCTCTGCTTTCACGCTTCCTCCGTTTTTCAGAGCGTGTTCAATTTTCTCAATGTTATACCATGTTACGTCGGATACCTTACGCCTATTAATCAACTTTGAAAACTCTGCTAGCTCTATTTTTTCTGTTGTACTTGAGACTTTCATGATTTGACGCTTCTTAATGAGATTCTTCGTTTCCTCGTAAACCTTGCCTGTGTCCTGTCTAGCTACCCGGCCTTCAACTTCCACTGCACACTCCGTAACGATACTCGTCAGATTATCATTTATTGTATCTGCGCTAAGGTTGGTTTTCTCACTAAGAGCCGAGTACCTGTTCTGAAGCAAGACTCTGCATTCCTGCACTTTCCCTCTTGGTGCTAGCTCATACCTGTCATACCATATCCCCTTTTACAGCCTCATTCATCGCGTTCCCGTGAGCGCCCAACACGAGGTGCCCCACAGTCCTTTGATTTATATCCATTTCTGATGGCACCTCTGAATTCATGCACACCACTGAGTTCCGAAATGTGAGCCCTGGAACCACCACGCCTTTCCGCAGACATCGAAGCACTTCGTATCTACTATATTTTTCATAACGCTCTGTGTTTCATTATTGCAGCATTTCTCTTTCTTTATGCTGCTGATGGTATTTTCTGTACCTCCATATATATACATCCCTTATTCACCCATACTCCGAGGTACTTGTGTTCGCTTAAACTCAGTATTTCTTCGCCCAGTATTGAGACCACCTGGTCTTTGTTGATCATTGAATACCATCAATCCACATTTCGTTGCACTAAATCCTAGTCCTACAGCCTCGTCTGCCTTTTCAGATATATCTACCAACCGCCGTGTAACGTCTTCACTGTCCGCAAATAGCACTTATCGTCTGCATACACCAGACCTGAAAGCTTCTCCTCAACCATCGCGCCACCCTGTTTGTGTGACAGATTAAACCGAATGTTGCTACCTTCTAGCCCTTCTTCCATCATCACCACGTACAACATCAATAACAGTGAGGACAGAGGACATCCCTGTCTCAGCCCCTTGTTAATTCCAACGCTGTCATTGCTACTAATTCCTTTTCATTGTATGAACTGTATTTCCTCGTTGTATTTCTTTCAAAAGTTGTATGCAGTCGTCACCTATGCCCCCTTCCTTCAATATGCCCTACGAAATTTCTTAATTAAGGTTGTCATACACCCCAGAGATATCCAGGTAAGTTACATATAAGGGCATTTTTTCTATTTTCGGTATTTCTATACACTGAGTAAGAATTATAAAGGACAGGGACAGCGCCGCCAGGTGGTAGCGAAGTTACGCGTGCACGCTATGAGTGTATAACCACTTAAAGCGTGGAAAAAGGAGGAAGGTTCCGCCCATCATTGTATATCATTTCGATGACACCTCAACAGGTTGGCACCAGGATGGGGTAGTGGGAATAAATGGGATCGGTAAGGAAAAAGAAAAGAATAATAAAAAGTTACCTTCGCTCCACCTCACACAGCGTGCGCTGAAACCGCCGCGAGAACCCGCAAACGACCGGAAAAGCCGCCATAAGCACCAGGAAGAATATTCACCGGAGAAGAAGACAGTGAGCCAAACAGGCGCATTAAAGGACGGGAGTGCGCTAAGCGTTCGCATTGGCACGTAGCCCAACCACGAAAAAAAAAGTTCAGTTGAACTCGCAGGTTAGAGTGCCGATGGACTCGATGTGATCATACAGTTTTCTTAGTTCGCCGGGACGATGGCCACATGCGAAGCTGGAGCCGCGGCACACAAATGACGGATCGTAGAATCCGCCGGCAGGAACAAAATCACTGCTTGAATCGCCGCCACAAGTGCGGTAATTACCGCGTCCTTCGGGTTCACCTCTGGGGCCGGGATATCCAAAGGAGAGGTCGATGGGTCGCTGTGCTCATAGAGGCAGGTGGTGCACTCGTAGCACGGCGAAAGGCGTATGCCGATCGTTCACCACCTGCGACAGCGTCTCCAATGAAGTGGCCCTTCACGACCGCCACACTGCGATGTTTCTCGATGTTATTGTAAAGGGGGTTTATTGAAGGACTGAGTAAGCGGGTGGTAGCTCTAAAGGAACGCAGGCGGACCCAGACGACAGTGCTTGATCGCCGATTTCGTGCCTTTTTCCTGCGCTGATGATAGCTGACCTGATGGTATCAACGTCTTTCTTATTCACTACAATTACCCCCGGCAAAAAAGTTGAAGCCATCCTGGCAATTTAACACGTGGGGACAAGCGGGTCGAAGTAGGGCTTCAGACGGTTCACGTGAACGATATCACGTCCACGCCGACGACGGTCGCTTGGTGGCGTGAAGGGTTCAATGGCGTAGTTCACGGGTGAAATACGCTCGACCACGCGGTAAGGACCATTATAGTTAGAGAGTAGCTTGGGTGATACACCAGGGGCGCAGGGCGGTACATGAAGCCATACAAGTGCTCCAGGAACGAACGTTTGTGCAGAACGATGGTCGTCGTCACGGGTCTCCTCCTGGCGCTGTTGGTCGGATGTAGTAAGCCGTTTGGCTAGCTTGCGGCACTCTTCTGCGTAACGAGCGGCTTCCGAGACAGGCTTGCATTTGGAGGGATCTGGCGAGTATGGCAGTAAAGTGTCGATGGTGTGCGATGGTTGGCGACCGTACAGGAGAAAAAATGGGGAAAACCAAGTAGTGACTTGCGTTGCGGTGTTATACGCGTATGTCACAAATGGGAGAACGAGGTCTCAGTTTGTTTGATCATAAGCGACATGCGTAGCGAGCATGTCCCCCAGAGTACGATGAAAGCGCTCAGTCAAGCCGTTCGTCTCTGGGTGGTAGGCTGTACTCTTCCGGTGAACAATATGGCACTGTTGAAGAAGTGCTTGTATTACATCGGAGAGGAAAACACGCCCTCGGTCACTGAGGAGTTCTCGAGGAGGACCATGGTGAAGCACAAAACGTTTCAGTATGAAAGTTGCGACGTCTTGTGCTGCAGCTGTTGGGAGAGCAGCAGTTTCAGCGTACCGTGTTAGATGATACACTGCCACGATAGTCCATCGGTTGCCTGCCGTTGTTAATGGTAGTGGTCCGTAGAGGTCAATTCCTACACGGTCGAATGGGCGGTCTGGGCATGGAAGTGGCTGCAATGAACCTGTTGCAGGATGTGGCGGGCTTTTCCGTCGCTGACATTCGTGGCAGCCGCCAATGAACTGGCGGACGAAGGTAAACATTCCGCGCCAGTAATACCTTTTTCGTAGGCGCTTGTAGGTCTTGAAAACACTGGCGTGAGCACATTGCGGGTCGGAATGAAACGACGCGCAGATGGTAGAGTGCAGCGTTCGGGGAATGACTAGTAGCCGTTTCCTACCATCTG